TATATATCCTGAGCTAGCAATAATAATTGTTAGATCTTTCTTTGGGTCCTTTCAATTTCTTTTTACTTCTAAAAAACTAATTAATTAATTTTTGAGAGTGAACATGAGTGGGGGAGGGGCAGGAAGAGAGGGAGAATCCCAAGCAGGCTTCACATTGTCAGCACAGAGCTAGACACGAGACTTGTACTCATGAACTGTAAGTTCATGACCTGAGCTGATATCAAGAGTCAAATGCTTAACTGACTGAGCCAAACAGGTGCCCCTGGTCCTTTCAATTTCTTACTAGACCACTTATATGCAACAGACAGATTTGGGTTGTAAGAATACTTCAGCATGATTTGAAGGCAGGAAGTTGCTCTCAGATAGATGCTATGAAGGATATAGTGAGATATAGAACCATCCTTAAGGAACTTAGCAGGACTGGGAAAACAAGCCATTCACTCTGGAAAAGTGACTGAAACAAGAGGTAAATCCCAAGGTAAGATAATGCCATCGATGTCATAAGGCACTCACATGCTAACAAATTGTATAGCACCTGTGTTTAGAGAAAGTCAAGGTCACTGTAGGGAAATCAGTGTGTTCAGGAATGGCTTCATGAGGAGGCAGGACTTAAACTTATCCTTAAGGAAATATCTCTCAAACTTCTAGTACTCTAGTTCTCAATTTTTGCTAACTTAACTAACCATCTATATTTTTATTTCTCCACAGTTTTTCTATATTGACATCTTTTTTTGGGTAAATACCTTTCCCTTATCTTAAACCACCAGACCAATGAAATCATAGGTTTGATGTGCTTTTGTGTTAGATGTATATTTAATTTCTAATATACATGAAAACAACATAGGAAGTCCTCATTATGTGAAGATAATTAATTCTAGAAAAAGAACTCTCAAAGGGAATCAGTCTACATGAAAAGAATATTAGTCATTCATGTTCAGTTTTGGCGCAAAAGTTTGAGGGGCGCCTGGATGGCTCAGTCGGTTAAGCGTCGGACTTCGGCTCAGGTCATCATCTCACGTTCGTAGTTTCGAGCCCATTGCTGGGCTCTGTGCTAACAGCTAGCTCAGAGCCTGGAGCCTGTTTTACATTCTGTATTTCCCTCTCTCTCTGACCCTCCCCTTCTCATGCTTTTTCTCTCTCTCAGAAATAAATAAAACATTAAAAAATTTTTAAGTTTGATTTATAAATGACAGTAAAATTATGAAAATAAATGTAAGAAATTATAAGCTGTTATTATAACTATGAACAGTTTCAATGAACAGAACATTAATTGAATATTGAGTATTTTTCTGAGAAAATAATTTAAATTTTCTGGCACGAGCATAAATATTAAGAAGACTTCAAAATAGATCTCTCAATCTTTTAATATTCAAATTATTTTTGAGCAACGTATTGTGTTATCCTTTTGAGTTTTCTCTTGTTCAATTAACTAATCTAATTCTTCTGAAACCTTATTTGTTAATGGATTTACATGTGATTTGAGCAGTAATCAGACATTATTTTCGTTGATTTCATGAAATCCTGCCTCTTTTCTCAGACTTGTAACTTGGCATTCCACTAGATTTATAACAGGTTTACATTAAATTGGAGAAATTAAAAACATTATTAATTTGATTAGATAGGATTTTGCCAAGTGGGAAAAATGTTTAAGTCAATTCTCAGTTCAATAGTGAATATTTTGGTGTTCAGATGACTTTGTTTTCCTATGCATTCTTTAATTCTAGGAGTGCTTCCTCAAACTTATTGTACCAGAGGAACACTTGAATAAATGCTCAAGTTTCAAGGTGACTTTGGATAAAAACATTTAAATCTCATTGTATGTCAGTGAGATCATTTAGTTGTAGATTTTATTATCCAATAATAATTGCCAATTCTCATTTAAGTAGATAGTGATATTTTCCTGAGAATCTGTTTAGCCAGTATTTTAGCCTATTCTTTTGTAGGTTTCCCTTCCCCACAAAGGATACCAACTCCAATGTAGGTCAGTAGTATAGACGGAAGATACTTTAGTTTTTCCTTTTTAAAATTTCCTACTTGATTTTTTTATATCTTACCCAAGTAGGGCTAAAAATCTTATCACAAATTTCTATCATAGTATGGAGTATGCTACTGAATATGGTATGTGGTACATGGTAAGTGCAAGGATAGATTTGTACTAAAAATTACTTTTTAAAAAAACCTTTCTTGAAAAGAAAAAAAAACAAATAATTAACTTTCTTTCTTGAAATTAACCCATCTTTTTCTTTCCTTTTCATGAATTTGCAACTTTATAAGGCAAACATAATATGTTTTTGTTAAATAACTGGTTTTTTAAGCCAAAATGGGATACAGTTTTACTAAAGGTAGACTTGTTAAGCTTAGTTAAAGTTTATGAATTTAATTAATGTTCTCAATATGAAGATAAATTAACAATGTTGAATAGTAAAGTTAATAAAACTGTATGTCATGGCAATATGAATAAAATTATAGCCTAAAACACAATTTTTTTATAAGACTTTTCTTAAGGAGTGCCATTTTCTTAATGAGTGATATGCTCAGGTTTACATAAGGTAGTTGTAAAATTAATGAACGCATTATTGGTTTCATGATCACTTTTTAAATTAAAAAAAAAATGTTTATTTTTGAGAGAGACAGAGTATAAGCAGGGAAGGAGCAAAGAGAGAGGAAGACACAGAATCTGTAGCAGCCTCCAGGCTCTGAGCTGTCAGGACAGAACCTGACATTGGGCTCAAACTCACAAACCAGGAGATCATGACCTGAACAAAAGTTGGACTCTTAACTGACTGAGTCATGCAGGCACCCCTCATGATCACTTTAATAGGCTTATAAATGCACTTTAATTTTAATTGCTACTTTGGAGCTAAAAATAAATAATTTAATTTATTATTAAGAAATAATTGTTTATTAAATTAAGTTTATTAAAGAAATAATTTTTCTTTAATATGAAACCTATGCATTTTGTTCTTGCAAAGTTACTAAACTCTGAGTTAAATGTGAGATAAATTCCTATGGATTTTATTTTTAACTAAAATGAGACAATTTCTGTCCTTGTTCTTGGTGCTTCTTAAAAAATACTTTCCCATATATGTTAGAAAATAAAAATGACAATCCCCCCATACCCCACTTCAAATAAAAAAAAATTAATATTTTTTATTTATTTCTGAGAGAGAGATAGAGAAAGAGCATGAGTGTGAGCAGGGGAGGGTCAGAGAGAGAGGGAGACACAGAATCTGAGGCAGGCACTAGGCTCTGAGCTAGCTGTCAGCACAGAGCCCAATGCGGAGCTGGAACCCAGGAACCGTGAGATCATGACCTGAGCTGAAGTTGGACACTTAACTGACTGAGCCACCCAGGCAACCTCCCATACCCCACTTTAAAACCTAATAATAGACCCAACCAAATGGTCATGGTTCTGCTTTACAAGACTTAAGGACTTATAACAATTGCTAATGGGGCACCTTGGTCACTCTGTATCATCTTTTGTAGAACCCCCTAGTGTTCCACAGAACCACATTTGAGAAACTCTGCTCTAGGGACTGGGATAATGAATACTAGAGTAAGGTGAATCTTTGTACATAATTATTAACCTAAATTGTTTTCAATCTGTTTATCACTTAAAGTCATATCATCCATACCTTGCAAAACACTGTCTAAAAGGACAAATAAGATCTGGATATGTTTAGAAGAGGGAAAATGGCATGTCAAATGTGAGCAAAGGCTAATGCAGGAGGGTATTTTGTGATAAATAGAAAAGGGTCACACCAACAAAGAACTCATTGATAACAATAGAGAAGCTTGAAGTGGGGAGAAAATTACATTTGAGTGGTAGAGTCCTTGAACTAAAGAAGAAAAAGGTCTTAAAAATCCACTAAGTTTTTTAAAATGTATTTATTTATTTTGAGAGAGAGAGCAGGTGAGGGGCAGAGAGAGAGGATTCCAAGCAGACTCCACACTGTCAGCACAGAGCTCAATGGCAGGGCTCGATCTCATGAACCATAAGATCATGACCTGGCCAAAATCAAGAGTTGGATGCTTAACTGACTGAGCCACCCAGGAGCCCCTAAAAAAAATCCACTAAGGTTTGAGGGGTGAGTGAAACTGATGAAAGAAATTGGGGGGCGCCTGGGTGGCTTAGTCGGTTAAGCGTCCGACTTTCGCTTGGGTCATGATCTCGCGGTTCGTGGGTTCGAGCCTCGCGTCGGGCTCTGTGCTGACTGCCAGCTCAGAGCCTGGAGCCTGTTTCAGTCTGTGACTCCCTCTCTCTCCGACCCTCCCCTGCTCACGCTGTCTCTCTCTCTCTCTCCTAGACATAAATTAAAAAAAACCATTAAAAAAAAAGAAATTGGAAGAAAGATGAATCTGGAAGTAGATAGGCAAGTATAGATACTGTGATAATTCATACAAGTGAAACTGAGAGCAAGAACAAGAATAGTGCCAGTAGAAATGAAGGAATGGGATGGGTATGGGACACTTGGTGAGTAGAACTGATGGTATCAGGGATCAAACCGATAATGAATTGATTTACATTAATGGTGTTTCCAGTTTCAGAAATATTAGAAATGTGGAATTGAGTGAATTTTTTTGAAGTGCTGCTAGGCCGAGCAATTTTCCAAGAGTTACCAGCCAGTCATCTTCCCTGGCCTTGCCTTCCAACACCATTCCCTATCATTTCATAAAGGAATACAGACCCAGCAGTGTCAGATCCTCTGATTTTTCAAGAGAAGCTAGAAATCTATCTACTTTGTAATACCATCCCATTTTTAAATGTTAGCAATTCCATTTTTTTTGTTAACAATAACATACTGTAGACTTGGTTGCTAATTTGCAACCCATGTCTAGAATTGTGTGTGATGCTTTCTAAATCACTTCAAAATGTACCCTGAACCTAAAGGTAATATAATCCTTCTGAAGCCTCTTTGCATAACTCCTAGCAGGAATTAATTAGCCAGAAGCTCATAGAAAGCCTTTTTGTAGTAGGTAATAATTTCCTTTTTGTTGGAATGTTGATTTTAGAGTTACAAGCCTTTTCCTGCTTCTTCCCAGCCAGGTCTCTAGACAAACTTTATAACTTTGCTGATTGTTCTGGACTCCACCTGATATTTGCTCTAAATGCACTGCGTCGTAATCCAAATAACTCCTGGAACAGTTCTAGTGCATTGAGTCTGTTGAAGTACAGTGCGAGCAAAAAGTACAACATATCTTGGGAACTGGGTAATGGTAAGTAAAATGTTATTTCCTCTGAATTGACAAGATAAAAAATAAGTTGACCTGGGACATAGCCTCAGTTAGACCATCTCTAGGATCCTCGCCCAGAAAACACTTGGGATGTTTCACTTCATATTAAGGACAACACAAGAATCAGCTAAAAGAATACTATTGGCCAAAGGATCTGAATAGACATTTCTCCAAAGAAAAAATATAAAAGACTGAAAAAAACACATGAAAAGATACTCAGCCACATTAGCCATCAGGGAAAAGCAAATCAAAACCACAATGAGATAATACTTCATACCCACTAGGATGCCCATAATATTAATAATAATAAAAAGATAATAAAAACTATTCGCAAGGATGGGGAGAAATTGGAACCCTCATATACTGCTGGTGGGAATGTAAAATGGTGTAGCCACTATGGAAAACATTCTGGCAATTTCTCAAAAAGTTAAATATAGAGTTGCTATATGACCTAGCAGTTCTACTTCTGGGTATATATTTAAGAGAAATGACAATGTAAGTCCACAGAAAAACTTTTACATAAGAGCCAAAAAGTAGAAACAACCCAAATGTCCATCAGCTGATGAATGGGTAAATAAAACCTGGTATAGCCCTATGATGGACTATTATCTGGCCATAAAAAAAGAATGAAGCACTGACACACACTACAACATGGATGAACCTTGAAAAGATTATGCTAAATGAAAAAACCCAGTCATGTATTTATATAAAATGCCCAAAATAGGTAAATATAAAGAAACAGAAAGTAGATTAGTTGTTGTCTAGAGCTAGGGGAGATGAGATGATAAAAATGTTCTAAAATTTGTTGTGATGATTGCACAGCTGTGTAAATATACTTAAAACTGTTGAATTATATACATTAATTTGGTGAATTGTATAGATATAAATTATATCTCAAAATTGCTGATACAAAAAACAGGGGGGAAATACTGTGTTGTCTTTTTTATTTTAAAGGGCATATGATGCATATTTTCTGCCACGGGTTAGTTGGTTACTTCCTTAGGGAGTTTACATTTGTAATTATGAACAATATTGTTGCCTTATATTTGCATAGTATTTAGTTTACATAGCATATCCAAATACTATTCTATTTGGACCTTAAAATCCTAAATGAAGTGCCTAATAAAGGACATAACATACAGGTGAGGAAATATACTGAAAAAGGTAAAGAGAATTGCTAAAGAAAGTAGGAAGTACTAAATCTATGTCAGGAACTTGGTTGGGACTGCTAACAGAAAGGGAGGTACTTTCTACCACCCTCTGGTTATTTTTCTTTAATGGTATTAAAACTTCTTGGCTTTCTTCACTTCCTTTAACTTTCATTCAACAAATAGCTATTGACAGACTACTGTTTGTCAAAGGTATACTATACTACACTATACTAGTTTTGAGAGATATAATAATAAATACCAGATAAATATCCCTGCCTACATTCTAGTAGATGAGATAGATAATAAAAAGGATTTGAAAACAGTTCATCATTATGTTCTCTCACACAACATTTTTGCCCTGTAGCAATTCATATTGAAATATTCAACTTGACCCTTTTGCTTTTATTGATTTCTTCTGTTTTTTATATCATTGATTTCCACTCTAATTTTTATTATTTCATTTCTTCTTCTTGCTTTGAGTTTAGTTTTCTTTTCTTTTTCTGCTTTATTAAGATAGAAGCTTAGATTACTAATTTGAGATCTTTCTTCTTTTCTAATATAGGAGTCTTTTTTTATCTCCTAAGCAGCAAAAATTTATTTTCTCACTGTTCTGGAAGCCCAAAGTACAGAATCTAGCCATCAGCAGACCTGGTTTCTTCTAAGTCTTCCTTTTGGTTTTCAGACATCCAACTTCTATGTTCTCATATGGCCTTCTCTCTGTGTATGCACCCCTAGTGTTTTGTTGTGTCTCTACACTTTTTTAAAACACCTATTTTTTAGAGAAATTTTAGGTTCATGGCAAAATTGAAATGAAAGTAGAGATTTCCCATCTATTCCCTGCCTCCACATATGCATAGCCTACCCTGCTATCAACATCCCCCACCAAAGTGGTACACTTTTTACAATTCCTGAACCCACAGTGATATATCATGATCACCCTAAGTTTACTTTATGGTTCACTTTAGTGTGAACATACTATGGATTTGGCCAAATGTTCAATGACATATATCCAGCACTATTGTGTCATAAAAAGTATTTGTACTGCCCTAAAAATCCTCTGTGGTCCATCTATTTATCCCTCCCTCCTGTCCCCAACCTTTGCCAACCACTGATCTTTTTACTCTCTCCTTAATTTTGCTTGTCCTAGAATGTCATATAGTTTGAATCATACGCTATGTAGACTTTTCAGATGGGCATCTTTCACTTAATGTTATGCATTTAAGGTTCTTCCATGTCTTTTAATGGCTTGCTACCTCATTTCTTTTTAGTGCTAAATAATATTTCATTGTGTAGAGATACCAGCTTATGTATCCATCACCTACTGAAGAAAATCTTCAGTGCCTCCAAATTGTGGCATGAATACAGAATTAATACATGCTGCTATAAATCCATGCAGAGACAAAAGTGAAAACATAAATTTTCAGCTCTTTTGGGTAAATAACAGGGAGCACTACTGCTGCATCATATAGTAAGAGTATGTTTGCTTTATAAGAAACCACCAAACTCTTCCAAAGTGACCATATCAATTGTCATTCCTGCCAGCAACGAATGAGCATTCCTGTTGTTCCACATTCTATAAAGTTTTTGGTGCTGTCAGTGTTAAAAATTTTTGGCCATTCTAATAGTATGGACTTGTATTTAATTGTTTTAATTTGCATTTCCCTGATGACATATGTGGAGCATCTTTTCATATTGTTTTTATCTTTTTACATTTTTATTTGCCATCTGTATATCTCCTTTGGTGAGGTGTCTGTTGAAGGCTATGTCCCATTTTTAAATCAGTTGCTTATTTCTTTATTGCTAATTTTTAAGAGATCTTTGTATGTTTTAGAAAACAGTTCTTTATCAGATGTGTCTTTTGCAAGCATTTTCTCCAAATTTGTGGCTTGTCTTCTCATTCTCATAACATTGTCTTTTGCAGAGCAAATGTTTTTAATTTTAATCAAGTCCAGTTCATCAATTATTTCTTTCATGGACTGTGCCTTTGGTGCCATCCCATATGTTTTTACATACTATATTTTCATTTTCATTTCATTAAAAATATTTTCTAATTCCACTTTCTTCTTTGACTATTTGATTATTTAACTTCCAAATATTTATATATTTCTCAAATTTCTTTCTGTTGTTGAATTCTAGTTTAATTCTGTTATGGTCAGGCCACATACATTATATGATTTAATCTTTTTAAATATATGAGACTTGTTTAATGGCTTACCATATGGTCTATCATGAAGGATGTTCTATATACACTAAAAAAGAAATGGGCATCCTACTGTTATTGGATGGAGTGTTCTAAGGATATCAATCAGGTCAAGTTGGCTGATAGTGTTATTTAAGTTTTCTATATCAATGCTAATTTTCTGTCTAGTTCTACTGATAACTGAGAATACAGTATTGAAGTTTCCTATTATTGTTGGATTTCTCTTATTTAATTTTGTTTTATGTATTCGATGTTCTGTTTTTGGTATGTATGTTTATAATTGCTATATCTTCCTGACAAATTGACACTTTTATCATTATAAAATGTCCCACATTATCTCTAGTAACATTGTGGTCTAAAGTCTATTTTGTCTGATACTAGTATAGTCATTCCAGCTCTCTTATGGTCACTGTTTGCATGGTATATCTTTTCACATCCTTTTACTTTCAACTATTTTTATCTTTTACTTTAAAGTATGTCTCTTTAGTTGGATCTTAGTTTTTTTATTCACCCTGACAATTTCTGCTTTTAATTGGAGTGTTCAGTCCATTTACATTTAATGTAATTGTTGATAAGGTTGAATTTCCATCTGCCATCTTGCTGTTTTCCATTTATTTCATTTTTTTGTTCCTCTGTTTATCCTGTACTACTTTTTTATGTAGAAGAAATGTTGCTTATATACCACTCTAATTTCTTTGTTTTATTTTGTTTTACTTATTTTCATAGTAGTTTCTTATTGTAATACATCTGAATTCATTACAATCTATTTTAGAGTACTTCTAGCTTAATTCCAGTTAACTATAGAAAATTTGCTTTGGGGCGCCTGGATGACTCAGTTGGTTAAGCATCCAACTTCATCTCAGGTCATGATCTCACAGTTTGTGGGTTCGAGCCCCATGTCAGGGCTCTGTGCTGACAGGTCAGAGCCTGGAACCCGCTTCGGATTCTGTGTCTTCTTCTCTCTCTGACCCTCCCCCACTTGTGCTCTGTGTCTCTCTCTGTCTCTCAAAAATAAATAAATGTAAAAAAAAAAGAAAGAAAGAAATTTTGCTCCAATAGAACTCCATTTCCCTCTCCTTTGTAACCATTATTATTATTATTATTATTATTATTATTATTATAAACATTACATTTTTATATGTCATAAGCCCAACAACACAGTTTTATAATTTTTGTTTTTATGTCACCATTATTTAAATTTATTAAGAAAAGAGTAATGGAGGGGTGCCTGGGTGGCTCAGTTGGTTAAGTGTCTGACTTCTGCTCAGGTCATGATCTCCCTGCTCATGGGTTTGAGCCCGGCATTGGGCTCTGTGTGGACAGCTCAGAGCCTGGAACCTACTTCAGATTCTGTGTCTCCTTCTCTTTCTCTGCCCCTCTCCTGGTTGTGCTCCCTCTCTCTCTCTCTCTCTCTCAAATAAATAAACTTATAAAAAAGAGTAATGGATATTTTCAACTATCTTTTATGTTTAGCTATGTAATTGCCATTACTGGTGTTCTCTATTTCTTTGAGTGGTTTTGAGTCACCATCTGGTGTCATTTGCTTTCAACCTAAAAGACTTCATTTCTTATTTCTTGTCAGGCACATTTTCTCACAAGTTCTGTCCTTTGTTTTTCTGGTGAATGTCTAAATTTGGGGACATCTGGGTGGCTTAGTTGGTTAGACATCTGACTCTTGATTTTGGCTCAGGTCATGATTTCATGGTTCATGAGTTTGAGCACCCCATCAGGGTCCACACTGCAAAATAAATAAACTTTAAAAAAAAGAAAACTTTTTAAGATCTAAATTTTGCTTTCAGTTTTGAAGGATATATTGCTACATATAGAATTCTTAGCAGATTTTTTTTTCTTTCAGCATTTTGAATACGTCATCCTACAGTCTTCTGACTCCATTATTTTTGGTAAAAATTCAGCTGATAATTTCATTGTGTTCCTCTGTATGTGAAGAGTTATTTAAGTTCTAAGATTTCCATTTGATCATTTTTTATAGTATCTCTCTTCATTTATATTTGATTAGTCAGTACAACCATACTTTTCTTTAATTTTGTGTTGTTCCTGTTAGTTCTTTGAACATATTTATGCTAGTAGTTTTGAAGTCCTTCTCCATTAGGAGACAGGGTCTATTGACTGGTCCCTTAGGAGATAGTTTCCATTGGCTGCTTTTTTTCTTCTTTATGAATCACTGTATATCTCTTTGCATGCTGTAATTTTTGTTGTTGTTGAAAACTATACATTTTAAATAATATGTTGGAACAACCTTGGATTCCCGATCCTCCATCCCAGAGGTTGTTTCTGTTGTCTCTCTTTTATTTGTTTGTTTAGCAACTTACCTGGACTAATACTGTAGCATCTCTCTCTTTTGCATTTTATAGCCACAGATATATCTTGTTTTTCTATGTTTTAATCACTGTCTAAGGCCAGCTTCCTAATGATTGCCCCTGAGTCATCATAGTTTAATGGTGAGACAATGATTGATTAGAGGTTGTGCTTACACTTGAGCCAGTAAGACTTCTACCCTTTGTCAGTGGATCTGTGTGTGATTTGGGGAGCACATTCCAAATTTAAACAGTTTACAATTCTCACTGACTTTTCCTTTCTGACATGCCTTCTCATGTCTCCTTTATGAATGTGCTAGGTTTCACATTCATCTGTGAGTACATGGATAGTTAGTGCACTCTCCAGTCTCTACTGAGCATATACAGCTTTCCAGACTACAAAGGGTTATGTGGGGGCTTATCAAGGCCCACCGTGACTGTTCTATTCCCTAAATCTCCCAGGTAAATTTCTTGCAAGTCTGCTGGTCAATTTCCTGACCCTACCAGTATCAAAACCTCTAGGTAGCCAAGGTATTGGCCTTGCCTGGGGCATGTACTTCATTCCAAATCCAGTAGCTCTTTCTGCTGGATTTTAGGATTTTCCTTGCCCTTTTAGAACACTAAGTTAATAGAAACCGAGGTAGGATGTTGTACTCTAAATTATTTCACCCAACCACTTTGTTATTATTGAACATTAAGATTTTTCTTTTTCTTTCATTATTTCTTTTTTTTACCATTTGTTTATTTTTGAGAGACAGGGTGCAGGTGGGGGAGGGGCAGAGAGAGAAGGAGACATAGAATCTGAAGCAGGCTTCAGGCTCTGAGCTGTCAGCACAGAGCCCAACACAGGGCTCAAACTCATGAACTGTGAGATCATGACTTGAGTTGTAGTTGGATGCTTAACCAACTGAGCCACCTAGACACCCCAAGGTTTTTCTTTTTGGTACAATGGCCATCTTTATAAAGCCTTGCTTTCTTACCATTTGTATCAATTTCCTAAGCCTATCATAACAAATTACCACAAACTCGGTGGTATAAAATAACAGAAATTTAGTCTCTCACAGTTCAAGGAACCAGAATCCACAAATCAGAGCATTGGCAGGGTTGATTCCTTCTGAAGACTCTACAGGAGAATCTACTCCATGCCTCTCTCTTAGCTTCTGGTAGCTGCCAGCAATCTTTGGCATAGCAGCATCTCTCCAGTCTTTGCCTCTGTCAACACATGGCTCTCTTCCCAGTATGTCTGTGTACCTGAATCTCCCTCTCCTTTCTTTTATGAAGACACCAGTCACTGGATTTAGGGTGCACCCTGATTCCATATGGCTTCATCTTAACTACATCTTCAAAGACCCTATTTCCAAATAAGGTCACATTCTGAAGTTACACATAGACATGAAATATGGGAGACAATATTCAACCCAGTATACCATTTGTTATAAAGTAACACCCAAAAATCAGTATGGTCTCTCTTGTGTGGATTAGGAGAACTTTTGGAAGATTCATTTGAAAATGAGGAGAATGGTAAAATGGCACTTGACTTTTTGTTATGATGGTTCGAGTTAAACTAGCTCACACCCTCTTTTTGGCTATTTTGTTCACATTGTTAAGAAAAAAGCAGAGAGATCTGTGGACAGAAAAGGGTAGGCAGAGCCTTACCCTTCTCAACTCTGACTTGCATGTCTGCTTTTAATTTAGAGCCAAATAACTATCGAACCATGCATGGCCGGGCAGTAAATGGCAGCCAGTTGGGAAAGGATTACATTCAGCTGAAGAGCTTGTTGCAGCCCATCCGGATTTACTCCAGAGCCAGCTTATATGGCCCTAATATTGGGCGACCCAGGAAGAACGTCATCGCCCTCCTAGATGGGTAGGTCATATTTTTTAGCAGTTTGTATGACACTATTCATAAGTGTTATGAATTAATGTGTTTCTATTTTTCCTGGTTACTTGTAGTCTTAAGAAAGATGGAGAAACTTTTTCCATATTGACTTCCCCAACTCTAAATCAGTGATTCTCCATCAAGCAGCCGAAGAGCTTCTCATCTCTCCAGGCCTTCCACAGTCAGCAGAAGGTGGTGGGACTGGGGAAGGATATCACAGTCTCCTGGACAGGTTGGAAGGGATTACATTGTTTTAAAAAGTACATTTAATATTAAAGCATTTCATAGCATTTTATATTTTTTAAAAGTCAAAATACTGTTACTGTATTCTTGTGACCTCTTATAGAAAGTAAACCTTAACACAACCCTGGCCAGTGGAGCTGTATTAAAAATTTGAGAAACACTACTACTACTTATAGATTCAAGCACTACTTAACTGATAGACTCATTAGTAGGTATTCTAGAGAATTCCTACCACGTGATTATTTTGACTGAATTTAATGATTATTTTTAAGCACTGGTTATGGATGAGGCACTATGTCCAGTTCTGCTGGTGGGCCAGGCCCAATTGAACCCATGCAGGTTAGGTCCAGTTACATAGGGTCAGAGGGAATGTCTGAGGGAACAGTACAAGGAAGGCTGAAGCCTTATGTTGAATCCAAGACCCAAAATGGAGATGTGACTAGAGCAGGAAGGGTGGGAACTATGAAGTTGGGAGAGTCAGGAGTTCCCCTGGAGCACAGAGTATGCACCAAGACACACCTGTTATGTGCCATCCTGCCACACTCTGGGATGAGTATGATTATTCCTGAGAATTCAAAGATGAGTAAGACATTTTCCAGTGAAGTGCACATTCCAAATGAGGTTAGATAAATGCCATACAAATACAAACAGATTATCTGAGGAGAGAAACCTTTGGCCAGCCTCCAGGATGGCCCTTGTGGGTTGATGGCTCTTATAACTCTATCTCCTCCCTTTTGTAGTGCCTTAGTCTTGATCTAAGGTAATTAATATAGCAGATGTTACTGAAGGCTTGGGAAAGGATACAGATTTGCAGTGTACCAACGTTAACAACCTGAAATTTAATTTTAGGCATTTTCCTTTTTACAAAGAATCTCTAAGCCCTTACTTCAGCTCCTGTCCTTTCCCCATCCTTCTCTTCTTCTCTTTTCTCCCTTTGTCTCTGAAGAGCAACTTCCCCCACCTTTTTTTTTTTTTACACAATTTCATAATCTTGGCCCCTCCCCGCAAATGCAGCTCTTGGTTTCCTTTTGCATACTTTCACTGAACTTTGAAATTACTCTGTGTGTGTGTGGGGAGGGGGGGCTTGATGGAGATGGAGAGGTTGATTTCATTTTATGTATTACAATTAATGGATAAGAATCACATGTATAGTACTTTATTCATAGTTTATAATATATAATAAAGCAAGGCGAATAACTATCATTTTAATCCATGTAGTTATTCTTTTGGATTGTCCTTTCTCCTTAATGATTTGATCAATGTATTTCATGGGACTGACAATGTCTTCTCAGCAACATGACCTACAGGGCCAATCAGTCAATCATCTTGCAAATGTTTCTTGAGTAACTGCTATGTTCTGGGTATTATGTTCAGAACTAGGAATGTAATAATAAACAAAAACAGATACTTTCTCTACCTTTATGGAGTATATAGTATGGTAGGAGAGACAGGGACATTAATTAGCTGATCTTAAAATTAAGACAATACCAAGGAGAGGTACATGGTGCTATGAATGACTATAAGAAGGGCTGAGATTTAACTGAGTCAGGAGGTTATGGAGTATGGGGTCCACTTCCAAAACTATACATACATCCAAAGACTAATAGGACTCAAGAGACTAGAGAAAGTCATTTAAGGAAAAGAAACATTACTGATAAGCATTTTTGAAAATTTTATATGCCAGAAAAAATGGAGATTTATCTCTATTAATGTGTATGTACTAAATATACAGTGAATTATACCTTGAAACACATAAACATTCCCAGCAACTCAACCAACAATAACAAAAATGTCAGCACTCTAAATTACCAGCTCTTTTCCAAACCTCCTAGTTATACAGATATAGTTTTACGTAGTTATGATCATTCTATATGCATCAATTTGAGTTCTGCATTTTTTTACTCATTGCTTTATGTTGCCCTTTTCTTATTCCTACATAGTTCTCATATTTGTCATTCTTAGTAGCAATGAAATATTCCATTGCATTAATGTACCAAAGTCTGCTTAAACATCCCCACACTGTTGGGCATTTGGGTTGTTTCCAGTTTTCATCTGTAATATATAGCACAGCTATAAACATCTTTATACAAATAGGTTTTTTATTTCTTTTGAATTATATCCTTGGGCTATATTCCAAAAAGTTGTGTTTCTGGGTCAAAGTATATGATAATTTTTATGGCTCTCATATTTGTTGCCAAATTTCTTTTCAGAACGACTTCACCAGGTTGTAAGGCAGCAGTGTATTAGTATATCTTCTCCCCCACAGCACCCCACAGCAATGACTATAATCATTTTTATTAATTTACTCCATTTTAATTAATGCAAGACTGTGCCTCATGGCTGTTTAACTTAGAATTCTGTTAACTATGAAAAGAACTGAACATTTTCCAAATCCTTAGGTTGTCTCCTTTCCTGCTGTCCCACATATGGTTAATGACACCATAACCATTTGCCCGAGGTGCAGACCAGGAGGCCAGTTTACATTCTTTCCTCTCCTTTGTTCACATACTCCATTAGGTAGTTATTAAGTTATGTTATTTCTGACTTCTTAGTATCAGTCACATCCCAGCATCTTCTCATTTTTAAACTTTATCATTCTTCTTCCTAAATGGTTTTTCTATATGTAGTCTCAGACTCTAATAAATTCTTTATACAGATTTCTGAGTAGTTTTCTCTTTTTTAATACAATATGTGGTCAAATCACTCTTCCTGGAAATCCAAACACTTTCACATGCACCCATGGCCTGCAGGGTCCAGTGCCTGCCTCACTTTACAGCTAGGAATCAGCTATATCCCTCTGCACAATCTGCCCTTAACTACCTCAAAGTATATTTTGAAAGATCCTATATACTTTTTACCTTTGCCTATTTTTAGTTTGTGTCATTTTCTTTGGAAAACCACTCTCTCCTCTCATTTTATTTCCTTCCAGTAGGTCTTCTCTGACACCCTCAGGCAGGATTTCATATCATCTCTTCTGTTTTTATAATAGTATTTTGTCTATTTTTTTTCTCTAGCACTTACCAAATTGATGATAAATTATTTATTTATATATCTGCCTTTTATAATAGACTGTGGACTAGGATCAGGACCTGGTCTATATTTTATTCATTTAGCCTCAGAACCTATGAATACAGTACATGTCTTATTCAATAACTAGTTCTAAATTCATTGATCTAAAACAGTATGCATAAATGTGATTGTGAAGTATTGTAAATCATTGTATAGTGATTTAAATAAATTATGGTGATTTATATAAATCATAATCATTAATTTTAATTTCACAGAACCAACTTTAAGCTTTTTTACTTAGGTAGTTATAGGACTAAACAGGAATATCTTCTCAGTTAGGATATAACTCCACTAGAGTTAGAATTAGTTAGATAGAATCTTCATATTTCTTCAGGAACTAGCATATTGCCTGGAATATGAGAAATAGTTCATAAAATGCTTGTTTTATTATTTCCATTTCCTCATTTGTGAGCTGGCCATTTTTTTAGTCAGTGATTTTTATCTAACAGGTAAGAATTGTTCTTTAGAGTTATATCAGTTTCCTGTTTTTCTTTTGTAAACTTTTATGTAACATCTATATAATGATAATTTTATCTTAATTTATTGCTTGTTACTTTGAAACATGTTTTTATTTTTCAGAAGTTTATTTTTATTGTAATTGTTCTTGTCTACTCTCTTGTTGATAGTCTTTTCTGTTTTGTATACATTTAAGCTAAAGTTACTATTTCATTTTCATCTTGTCTTTCTAATGTTTTAGTTTCTCAGATCTTTTAACTTACAAAGTTTTAACAAACTTGAAGTTTGTTGCTGTAACTGCTATAGAGTAAGGACCTAATCTAATTTTGGTTAATGTGGCAGTGTCAAGAAGAGCAGACATCCACTGAAATAGTGTTTATTGAGGCTCTTTTTAGGCTTTTAAATCCCAATGAGATGACTACTAAATTCCCTCCTCAGCATTTATTGAACACCTACTCTGTATTTGATCCTTGCTTAAGTGCTGAGTATATATTGAAGAATAAAGTCAAAGTGATTCTTACCTTCTTGGAGGGTAGCAAGAGAGCCACAGTAAATAAGAAAACAAATTATCACAAAATGTGTGTAATTCTGTGAAGGAAATGATCGGGATGACTGGGGTTGAGGGTTCTATTTAGACAAGGTGATCAGAGAAGACTTATCTGAAGAATAATTTATTTAAACCAAGAACAAAAGAATGAATGGGAGCCAAATGTTCAAAGTGTAGAGTGAAGAACGTTCCAAATAGAGGTTCTAAGTCATGTTTGTCAATGACCTGAATCAGAAATAAGGGTTAGACATTTGAGGAATAAAAAGATGGGCAGTATAGTGAGAAAAAGAAGAATGGTAGATAGACCAGGACCAGATCATTACTGGACTGTGTATACCATGGAAAAGAAGTTGTGTATTTTATTCTATGAGCAATGGAAAATCATTACAGAGGTGTTTTTAAAATTTTTTTTAATGTTTTATTTATTCTTGAGAGACAGAGCATGAGCAGGGGAGGAGTAGAGAGAAAGGGAGACACAGAATCCGAAGCAGGCTCCAGGCTCTGAGCTGTCAGCACAGAACCTGAGGTGGGGCTCGAACCCACAAGCCACAGGATTGTGGCCTGAGCCTAAGTAGGACGCTTAACCAACTGAGCCACCCAGGTGCCCCCATTACAGAGTTTTTGTAAGAGCAGTGAAATATACTAGAGCCTACTGTATTCTCTGTGTCAAAGA